CTTAGAAATATAGTAAAGTGATATTGATCGTAAGTAATGATTTGAGTGTGTCTATGACGTAACACAAAATGGCGTCAGAATTATACTAAGACTCTCCCTTAACTAGATACGTTCACTTAGCACCAGTTAATAGACAAAATTCGGGTAGAGTCTCAGTGTTAATTATGTCTCCTAACTGGTGTTAAGTGAAGGTATCTAGTTAAGGTAGGGTATCAGTGTTAAATCTAGAAGCCACATTTGTATTTTAACTTAAATGAGCAAGTTAGACACACACACACACACACACACACACACACACACACACACACACACACACACAGAGGAAATGTTGAACTTACAGCCACCTCCAGAACTTGGCCCCGTTAATTGGATTTTAATTTCTGGTTCAAAATTCCTTTCAGAAACTTAAGGTTAGATAAGGTGAGGCTTGGTTAGGTTAGGTTAGGCGATCTGGGTAGTTTGTTCACTAGTCGTCGCCCTGAGCATGGGGTCGTCTCCTGCCCATGCGTCACCATGTGTATCTGATGCGTCACCAGCTGTGCGTCCCTGGCCGTCATGTGTACGTCCAAACTTGATAATGCGTCATAGTTATGCGTTAGTGGGCCATACCTGCTTTATGACATGCGTTAATCGGTCACACACCTGTTAATGCGTCACAGGTATGCGTTAGTGCTTTACCTATGCGTTAGTGAGTCGCACCTGTTCTAATAATAAATTATAATAATAATTAACGGTTTATTGAAAAAGTTCTGCTGCCCGAAGGCTGAAAATATACATAAATGGACATAAATGACTTATTACACACACAGACATGGGGTGGGCGGGTCGTTTAACAAAAGCTTTCATTACGGAGAGGAGAAGGAACATGAATTGAACATATAAATTATTATAGTTTACAGTTGATGGCCCGGGCCTGGGCTGGTCATGAGACACCGGGTGGTGTGGTGTTCACGTGGTGTAGTAACTTGTCCTCGGGTGTTGATATGAAGGACCTCACGTGGTCACGAGACACCGGGTGGTGTGGTGTTCACGTGGTGTAGTAACTTGTCCTCGGGTGTTGATATGAAGGACCTCACGTGGTCACGAGACACCGGGTGGTGTGGTGTTCACGTGGTGTAGTAACTTGTCCTCGGGTGTTGATATGAAGGACCTCACGTGGTCACGAGACACCGGGTGGTGTGGTGTTCACGTGGTGTAGTAACTTGTCCTCGGGTGTTGATATGAAGGACCTCACGTGGTCACGAGACACCGGGTGGTGTGGTGTTCACGTGGTGTAGTAACTTGTCCTCGGGTGTTGATATGAAGGACCTCACGTGGTCACGAGACACCGGGTGGTGTGGTGTTCACGTGGTGTAGTAACTTGTCCTCGGGTGTTGATATGAAGGACCTCACGTGGTCACGAGACACCGGGTGGTGTGGTATCTGATGCCTCACTCTGCTGGTGTTGTTGTGTTATCTGGTAGTCAGGTGTGAAGCCGACCCACTGTTGTTCCCATGGTGGACTGATTAGCACCTCCTGGTTCGAATGTATGCGTCAGTGAGTTATAATGCGTCGTGCGTTATTCATGTGTCGTGATTTGCCCTGTTGCGTCATAGTGTTACTTGTTTAATGGTCTTTTGTTGTACATACATACATACATACATACTCTACCTGATTATAAACATTAGTACATGCACACATGCTTACATATATGTACTCACACACACACACACACACACACACACACAGATTAGAATGATTTCAAACACACACAGATACATACACGATTAATAGCGTACATAATGTATACAGCAAACGCACATCAGGATACAGTTTCAAGCACACACACACACACGTGTGTCATAATATATACACACAGATGCATACACAGTTAATTGCGTAAATACTATAGTACATACATACATACATACATACATACATACATACATACACACACACACACACACACACACACACACACACACACACACACACACACACACACACACACACATACATACATACATACATACTTACATAGACACAATTATAATCTCTCTGTACCGTTTTATGTCCTAATTACCGTATCACCTAATTGCATGGTTATGTCGTACTAAGAACAAGTCATTACTAAACTACCGACTTTACGACGCTCTCTGACAGTCGATCCTGGATGGTAATTGGTCCTTTATGTGATGGTCTCAGCCAATCATCTTGCCTCTATCACCTGTACTTTAGATTGATTATGTAGTGCGTGTAGGTGTAATGGGCCGGGGTGTAGGTGTAATGGGCCGGGGTGTAGGGGGTGTACGGTGGGTGTAGGGGGACTATGGTGGGTGTAAGGGGACTGTGGTGGGTGTAAGGGGTCTGGGGTGGGTGTGTGGGGGTCTGTGGTCAGGTGTAAAGGTCTGGGAGTGGAGTGTAGGGGGTCTGTGGTGGGTGTAAGGGGTCTGGGGTGGAGTGTAGGGGTCTGGGGTGGGTGTAGGGCTGTCTGTGGTGGGTGTGGGGGACTGTGGTTGGGAGTGAGGGTGGTGGTGTGGGGGGTCTGTGGTGGGTGTGGGGGTCTGGGGTGGGTGTAAAGGGGTCTGTGGTGGGTGTAGGGGTCTGTGGTGGGTGTAAAGGGGTTTAGGGTGTGGGTGAGGGTCTGGGAGGTGGAGTGTGTAGGGCAGGGGTGGGCAAAGTGCGGCCCACGGGCCACATTTGGCCCGCCAAATTATTTCTGTGGCCCGCCACTGCATTTGGCAATCAGAAAAAAAAAATTCTTATTAATTACAGAAAGGACAATTTTGGAAGTTGGGTGGACATAGTAGCAATACTGGCTCGTCGCTGTTAACCTGTGGCCCGCGAAGTGTGCCACCATTCATGAAGTGGCCCTCCATCAAAAATAATTGCCCACCCCTGGTGTAGGGGGTCCGTGGTGGGTGTAGGGGGTCTGTGGTGGGTGTAAGGGGTCTGGGGTGGGTGTAGGGGGTCTGGGGTGGGTGTTGGGGGTGTGGGGTGGGTGTAAGGGGTCTGGGGGGGTGTAGGGTGTAGGGGTGTGGGGTGGGTGTAGGGGGTGTGGGGTGGGTGTAGGGGTTGTGGGGTGGGCATTAGTAGTGTCTGGCGTTTGTCTCCACCCCACAGTGACTCATAGAACATACGCCAGACGAAAAACACCCTAAAGACCATCGCCAGCACAAGAATTAATAGTGCTTGGCGTTCCTAGAGCAAATATTAACCTCCATTAATATTTTATATATGACTGACTTACTGTAAATGAGATTCGATTAAAAGTAATAAGTAATTGAGTTAAAGTGTGGGTTAATGAAAGAGGGGAGGAGGGGGGTGAGAGGGGGAGGTAAGGGTGTGTGGGGGGAAGGAGAGTGAGAGTGAGGGGGGTGAACGTGTAAGGGTGGGGTAGAGGAGGTGAGAGATTCAGGGGGAAGTGAAGGTGTGAGGGGAGGGGGGAGGGTGTGTGGGGGGGAGGGTGGCATAGCACTATCATGCCTCTACAGGTAAACATCACCTCATGGGTGTGTGTGGATAGTCAATATTGGTAATGAGAGTTAGATTATGTTAAATTAATGGCTGTGGGTAATACTCTCGACTCTGTGGTGGTTGTAGTAGTAGTAGTAGTAGTAGTAGTAAGGTAATAAAATGGTGGCGAAGGTATGGTTATTGGGGGAGGCTGGAGGCCATTAAAAAAAGTAGTAGTAATAGAAGTAGTAGTAATAGTAGTAATAACAATAATAACAACATTATTAAAAAAATAGTAATATAAAACAATCGTAAACTACATATCGTAGCTACCATCATTATATCGTTAACTGATCATACTCCCAATTAAGGTCATGAAATCATTAATGACCCCAATTGACCTCACAGTTGACCCCATTCAGTTAAATTACTTCCCTTATGACCCACAATAGCTTAGTAAACAGCTCAATGGAGGGATTTTAAATGATCGTAACTGCTATCGTCTATTAGAAAAGCGTATTGTAGGTTTAACTGCGTTTGTGATTATAATTTGAATTGACATTGTATAGGAAACGGATTTGTATAGATTATTGAAGTTATTATTATTATTATTATTATTATTATTATTATTATTATTATTATGAAAATACGCATTGCAACACCTATGGGCCTTAGAGGTATTGTAAGTATCGTCAAAAATATTGTATAACTTTTGCGTAATGTGAATGTTGTTGTAGAGAAAAGTAATTAGCGAGGTAAGAGGTGGGGGAACGTTTTGTGGTGGTGGCCGTTACCATGGCAACAGCGAGGTGCCTGACACACACACACACACACACACACGCGCGCACACACACGTAGATATTTATACTGTCACTCATTTATGTGTTGTGTATCAAATAACCCTCCCATTGCTCTAGTTGTTATTATTATTGTTATTACACTCACACGTACACATGCCCACGTACATAAACACATACACACACACAAATGCGCATGAACACACACACACACACCGATTACAATACCCTTACTCATTCTTTCAAAATAATGGGGTAAAAATATTGGCCTATGGGTAGATGACCAAACGTACCCACACCATACCCATTGTCAAGTATGAAGTATATCTGTGTATATACCAGTGTGTATGTCTGTATGTATATAGATCATACAGTTTATACCTTTAATTTGAGAGTCGATTATAAACAAAACAATATTCTAACCTAACCTAATTAAACCTAACCTAACCTCCGGCGTTTAATACTAGTGATTAATAAAGTATTTTGTTTCAGGATTAATGAGTTTAAAAATTAGTTTGTAATTGGTTTTATTCAAGGTTTATTATAAGTGTTTTAATTCAATAATGTAACTAAACCTTTCATTTCGATAAAGTAAAAATTATATTAAAAATTTACGGTAAAAATACAATTACATTTTAACAAAGTCTTCTGGAAAAAATTGAAATATTAAATTAAAACAGTAACACTAATTTAACGGTTACATAATCGTGTTTTATGCCTGTTTTAATTGTTCGGATTAAAGAACTTACTCCGTTCTCGTATTCTAGGCTCCGAAGACTCCCTGAAGGCTCCTGAAGACTCGTGAAGATTCCTGAAGACTCGTGAAGATTCCTGAAGACTCGTGAAGATTCCTGAAGACTCGTGAAGATTCCTGAAGACTCGTGAAGATTCCTGAAGACTCGTGAAGATTCCTGAAGACTCGTGAAGATTCCTGAAGACTCGTGAAGATTCCTGAAGACTCATGAAGATTCCTGAAGACTCGTGAAGATTTAGTTAGCTGGTCGTCAAAGTAAGGCTCCCTCTAACACCTGTACCACCACACACTACAACTTGGCTGTCTGTATATTGACGTAGAATATACATAATATTACTCGAGTATCATCTTCTCTACCCTCGCCTAGCTTTGAGACACTCCTTCCTCTCCTCTCTCTCTTTCTCCCTCCTTCCCTTCATCCCTCTCTCCACCCCTCCCTCCCTCACCTCTCACTTTGGGTATAAATTCCGTTACATCCACCCTCAGTACCGCCGTGGATGTCTTGTAATTGGCCTACGTATGTTTTGTAATGATTGGTAATTTCGTAGTGCTATGTAAATTATCATACTATTTTTTTTCTATACACAAGTTTAGTTCATGGGAATTTAGTTTGTTTACAACGCAACTGAACTACCGTGAACAGTCGTTACGATAGTTTGGTATGTTTGAGGTGCCGAATCACTTATAAGTTTATATTTAAAACATATTATGTAACAACTAATTAATTGAATAAATGCATATAAAATAGTCTAATATATTAATAAATATTTATATTATATACTGGTAATAAATAATAATTTGTTTAGTGAGAATTAATGATTTATTATTGGTTTATTATCAGATGCTGGCAAACCGTGAGTGAGCAGCCGACGTGCCCGAGCCCAGACAACGTTAGTGTTGACCTGATAGTCGTGGGAGAGAGAGTTTGTTGTGTCCTGTGACCTAAACGTGGATTATCTTCTTAACAGCCGCCCAGAGGAGCTTCTATCTTAAGTTACATAAGTGAGGAATTATTTAACCAGGTTTGGAAAATGTGTAGGTAAGTGGAGTATAGATATCGTGGTGTTAAATGCTATACAGTATAATGGTGATATATGCTCCGCTCTTTATTTTACCAATATAGTGATATAATCTCTTGGCTCAGTGTTTATAGTGAACTGTGTCTTGTATAGTTGAATCATTACAGTCGAGTGTTGTCTGGTAATAGTAGTGTGCGGGGTCTTGATGACGGTCGTTTATTTAGAATCTCTTGTTAAAGTGTACAAATATGGGTAACACTGTGTACACAAACACGTTTAGTGGTGTAAGTGTATTGTGTGGGTACTGGGCGCGAAGTTGTGTGGGTACTGGCGTGATGCGTGTGGGCACTGTGTATGGTTTGGGTTGTGTGGGTACTGTGTATTGTGTGCATGACAGTCTATTGTTTGGTTGTGTGGGGCATGGTCTGTGTGCTGGCTGTGTGGGCACCGTGTGGTTTGGTTGGCCTATTTTTGTGGCACCGTGATGGTTTGTGTGGGTACTGTGTATGGTTTGGTTGTGTGGCACCGCATGGTTTGTATGGGTACTGGTTGCCGTGTAGTGGCACCTGTGGCACTGCAGATGGTTGGTTGTGTATGGGTACCATGGAGATGGTTTGGTTGTGTGTGGGCACTGGCGATGGTTTGTGTGTGTGGGTACCGCGCATGGTTTGCTGCGTGTGGGCACTGTGCATATTTGGGTGTTGTGCATGTGTATGGGTACCGCGCATTGTGTGGGGTGCATGGTGTGTGGTACCACTGCATGGTTTGGTTGTGTGGGCACGCATGCGATGGTTTGGTTTGGTCGCTGGTGTGGGTACCGCGTATGGTTTGTTGTGTGGGCACCGAGATGGTTTGGTTTGTGGGTTTGGTTGTGTGGGCACCGATGGTTTGGTTGTGTGGGTACCGTGATGGTTTGGTTGTGTGGGTACCGTAGGTGATGGGCACTCTGGTGCTGTGTGGGTACCGTGGCTGCTGTATGGTTTGGTTGTGTGGGCACATGTGATGTGTGGTATGGTTTTGTGTGGGCACATGTGTGTATGGTTTTGGTTGTGTGGGCATGGTCGCGTATGGTTTGCTGTGTGGTGGTACCATGTAATGGTTTTGGTTGTGTGGCACTGTATTGCATTTGGCTGTGTGGGTACTGTGTATGGTGTGCATGGTTGTGTGGGTACCGGCGATGGTTTGGCTAAACTGCTATGGCTTGCTGGTGGCTGTGTGGGCTTGTGGCGTATGGTTTGGTTGTTGCGTGGGGTGTATGGTTTGCTGGGCACGTATGGTTTGGTTGTGTGGGTACTGCGATGGTTTGCTGTGGGCATGGTGGTATGGTTTGGTTGTGTGGGCACGTATGGTGTTACCGGTTTGTGTGGGTACCAGGTTGGAAAAAATCATGATTTATAAAAAATAACAAAAACAAATCGATTTTTTTTATTTAAATCGATCGATTTTAATTGCATTAAAATACCATTTTAAAACCGTAAAAACAGTATTTTTCAACCAATGCTTATTCAGAATAATAAACAAAAATTGATATTAAATATATTTATGCAGTGATGCACCAATGGGTTTTAACACAATAATTTCTTTTTTGTAAAATAAAAGAAAACTGGAAACATATCTTACATTTGAGTGCACAACCAAACGTAATACTGTACCTGTAATGAAATTTAACATAAATGCTCTTATAGGATTACAGTGTTTCAAAAATTAATAACTTAACTTTCAAGTCAACAGAATAATATTCTCATTTTGTAAAAAAAATAATACTGGTAACAAGTTTATTTTCTTACATTTGTAGGATTATAGGTACAGTATTAAGAATTACCGGTAATAACTTCAAGTCACACAATATTTCATTCTGTAAACAACAAAAATAGTTCCAAACATTTAAATTAGCTTTAGTTGAACATTGAGTTGCTTATGTACTGTGACAAGCTTAGATGCCTTTTCCGTCCTAGGCGATTTCTTACCTTTGAGTGTACAAACCATATGTGGAAAAAATTTGGCCCCTGGATGATGCAAACAGCTGTAAATAATTGCCTAGGAACATCCATTACATTTTCTGTCATATCATTGGCAAAAATGCCACTGCAAGGTGAGAGAGATTTACAACATCTTTACCAAAATAGACCCTTAAATGGTGCACTTCTTCCATGGAAGGACATTAATGTTGAAAGGAAATGTGGAAGAGACTCGCAATACTGTTCTGCAATGTCTCGGCTGCTCAGGAGTCAGATGTCTGCCCTGATACCTTGATCTATCACATTAGCTAGAAAATGGGCAGGTGTCAATGCTACTTGATTCTTTTTTCAAAATTATCCATATCCTTCTTATCTGTTAAATACTCCTTAATATCAGTTATCAGTTTTACCCAGTTTTCACAGCATCACTTAATAGAGTATGTTCTCTCTGGACACAGTCCAATGCCAAGCAATAGGCTTAAGTCTCTAAATAGTCTTCTGCAGTTCTTTTAATGCCTTATCATTATCTTTCCTTTCAATTTTCTTATCAATGTTCACTATTTTCTTTGCACACGTTGACAAGGGTCTCCTAGTTCTTAAATAAGATTCAATAGAATCTGTCATTGTTCCATCGTGTGTCTGATGACATTACTAGCATTGTTCCTCCTGCTCTTCTATACAAAGATCCTGGGATGATGATTTCTGAATTTCAATAGTATTTATTATCTTAGGTAACAATATATTTCATGTAAATATATACATTAATAATGAGACCTTATGATATGATCAAAGTTTCGCAAATTGGAGAGAACAGACTAGTACAGTACATAATTATGTAAATCCAAATAATGTTATCAGCCTGTTGCATTGCATATACTTTTCAATCGTAGAATAAAAAGAGAAAACAGTTTTAGTAAAAAAATAATTTTGATTTAAATCATGATTTTTTTTACCTGATTTAAATCAATTTAAATCATTTGATTTAAATCATGTGATTTAAATCACAACAACCCTGGTGGGTACTGTATGGGTAACTGTGGGTACTGTGTATGGTTTGCTGTGTGGGTACTGTATGGTTTGGTTGTGGGTACTGGTATATTTGGTTGTGTGGGTACTGTGTAATGTTGTTGTGTGGGTACTTGGCTGCTTGTGTGGGGTACTGCCGGGTATGTACTGTGTTGGTCTAATTGGGTGGGCACCGTGCATGGTTTGCCGTGTGGGCACTGTGTATGGTTTGGTTGTGTGGGCACTGTGTATGGTTTGCTGTGTGGGTACCCCATGGTTTGGTTGTGTGGGTACTGTGTATGGTTTGGTTGTGTGGGTACTGTGTATGGTTTGGTTGTGTGGGTACTGTGTATGGTTTGGTGTGTGGGCACACTGTGTATGGTTTGGTTGTGTGGGTACTGCGTATTTTATTTGGTTGTGTACACTGTGTATGGTTTGGTTGTGTGGGTACTGTGTATGGTTTGGGTTTGGGGTGTGGCACTGTGTATGGTTTGGTTGTGTGGGTACTGTGTATGGTTTTGGCTGTGTATTGTATGGTTTGTTGTGTGGGTACTGTGTATGGTTTGGTTGTGTGGGTACTGTGTATGGTTTGGTTGTGTGGGTACTGTGTATGGTTTGGTTGTGTGGTACTGTGGTTGGTTTGCTTGTGTGGCACTGGGTGTGCTTGGTTTGTCAGGTGTGTATGGTTTGGGTGTGGGCAATTGCATATTTGGTGTACTGTATGGTTTGGTTGTGTGGGCACTGTATGGTTTGGTTGTGTGGCACTGTGCATGGTTTGGTTGTGTGGGCACTGTGTATGGTTTGCTGTGTGGGTACTGCGTATGGTTTGGTTGTGTGGGCACTGTGTATGGTTTGGTTGTGTGGGTACTGTGTATGGTTTGGTTGTGTGGGTACTGCGTATGGTTTGGTTGTGTGGGTACATGGTTTGGTTGTGTGGGCACTGCGTATGGTTTGGTTGTGTGGGTACTGCGTATGGTTTGGTTGTGTGGGCACTGTGTATGGTTTGGTTGTGTGGGTACTGTGTATGGTTTGGTTGTGTGGGTACTGCGTATGGTTTGGTTGTGTGGGTACTGTGTATGGTTTGGTTGTGTGGGTACTGTGTATGGTTTGGTTGTGTGGGTACCAGGGTTGGAAAAAATCATGATTTATAAAAAAATAAATAAAACAAATCGATTTATTTAATTTAAATCGGATTTTTTTTATTTAAATCGATTTTATTACCTAATTGCATTAAAATACCATTTTTAAACCGTAAAAACAGTATTTTTCAACCAATGCTTATTCAGAATAATAAACAGAAAATTGACATTAATATATTTATGCAGTGGATGTACCAATGGGTTTTAACACAATAATATTCTTTTTGTAAAATAAAAGAAAACTGGAAACATATCTTACATTTGAGTGCACAAATCCAAACGTAATACTGTACCTGTAATGAAATTTAACATAAATGCTCTTATAGGATTACAGTGTTTCAAAAATTAATAACTTAACTTCTTCAAGTCAACAGAATAATATTCTCATTTTGTAAAAAAAAATAATACTGGTAACAAGTTTATTTTCTTACATTTGTAGGATTATAGTGTACAGTATTAAGAATTACCGGTAATAACTTCAAGTCAACACAATATTCTCATTCTGTAAACAACAAAAATAGTTCCAAACATTTAAATTAGCTTAGTTGAACATTGAGTTGCTTATGTACTGTGACAAGCTTAGATGCCTTTTCCTGTCCTAGGCGATTTCTTACCTTTGAGTGTACAAATCCATATGTGGAAAAAATTCCCTCGGCCCCTGCTGATGATGCAACAGCTGTAAATAATTGCCTAGGAACATCCATTACATTTTCTGTCATATCATTGGCAAAATACTGCCACCAAGCAAGGGGTGAGAGAGATTTTACAACATCTTTACCAAAATAGACCTCTTTAAATGGTGCACTTCTTCCATGGAAGGACATTAATGTTGAAAGGAAATGTGGAAGAGACTCGCACACATACTGTTCTGCAATGTCTCGCTGCTCAGGAGTCAGATGTCTGCCCTG